TGAAGGGTCAAACTTCCCGAAAGCTCTGCGAAGAAGGCCGAGGTACTGGTTTGCTTTCTCAGATGCCTTTTCAGTCCGCCTCAAACAAGTGAGGTCACGTTGAACTATTACGCCCAGATCGTACTCGTGAGAAGCCCGCTGTAGAATTTGTGATCCTATGCGGTACTTGTGCATACTCATGTGCTGTATGGTGAGAACTTTGCACTTGGTAACGTTTAATTGCAGCATGTTCTCGATGGACCATGTGTGCGCTTTGTCCAGGTCCTCCTGTAACGCTGTGTGGCTTTCCACTGCAGCTATAGTACGCCCTAGCTTAGATCATCAGCAAATAGCAAGCGGTTAGAAGATAGCACGCTCGCGAGATTTCTGAAAACCAGGAAGAGGCGGGGTCTAAGTACCGAGGCCTGAGGTACGCCGCACTGAACTTCGATGGATTCTGATACGTTGCTTCGAACCCTCACATTCAGGTGACGTTGCACGAGGAAGTTTCCTGTCCAGCCCAGAACAGGATGACCGATTCCATATTTCTGGAGTTTGTGGAGTAGAATTCGATGGTCTAGACGGTCGAATGCCTTGTACAAATCCAGGTAGGCCTCGTCGACTCCTACACCAGCGTCCACAGATGTCGCCCAGCTTGCACGAGCAATCAACAAATTAGTGGTACAGGACCGATTCTGGCGAAATCCGTGCTGTTCCGGAACGAGAATTTTGTTATTCACCAGGTACCACATCAGCGCCTCAGCTACAATGGACTCCATAACCTTGGAGATCACAGGAAGTAGTGTTATCGAAAGATAATTTGCTGGTTCAGCACCGCTGCCACTTTTGTGGATGGGCGTGGTGATTCCGTGCTTCCACATCGTGGGGACATGCATCTGGTTCAGACATCGTTGAAAGAAAATTTCTAGCGGCGTGTCCGAACTCATGGCATCAATTTTCAACACGTTTTCCGTCTGTAGTCTCAGCCCGTGCACACGTCTGTCGGCTAGGTCAGGTTGGCCCACTACGTTCCGAATTCCAGTGGCTACTGTATTCACGTGTTTTACTAATGCTGAACACCATTGGTTTTGTCCTTCCTTTATGAAATCGATTAATGGTACGTATATGTATTGGTTTATATTCTGGTACATTTCTAAATTCGTGGTACTTTTAGGTGAATATTCACCTGCCAAAGCGTATGAAGTAGTTCATGAGGTGCAATGGGGCCATCATCTGGCGTCCAGTAGATGCTAACTGTCCTCTTCATCTCCGACACTTTCCTATAATTCGTTTCACGGCTGATGCTCCGTGAACAATCCAATACTTGCGCGTAATACAGGCAAATACATTTGCAACTCCTGATTGGCCTAGAATCAAATGGTCATGATTGACAAGCATCTCGAGGATAATAATGGACAACTACGCGCAACATTCCAAAATGTAACATGACAACCTGCTGCCAGCACAAAGCAAACCGTTTCCCAACCCAGGGCATAAGAGTCTCAACGGGCTCTTTCTGACATAACTCCTTCTCTGCCCGTTCCGTCCATAAGTACTCGCTCATCCTTGCACACAGGACGCTGCATAGGTCGCATAAAGTTCTCTTCAGATGGTGTGATTTCCCTGAGCTTAATAAACCCTCAGGAGAGATAAGTGTGCAGAAAGACACAACGAAATTTTTTAGATGAATTTGATTACTTGTGTTGTGACAAACTAGTTTTCACAACCTGGCCCTCTGTGGCATCCTTAAAAACCATTTTCCTCCAAGGGCTCCCTGGAATTCTCCAAGGGTGAATTAGCCAACCGCCGAACAGGCACTGATAAATCAGTCTAGCGTGTGCCTTTTCTTGCCTAGGCTGAGTGCGCGCCGTCTATTCTATGGCGTTCGACAAAGCCCAACTGAGCATTCGCGCGTTGCTAATTCCGCCACAGCTCATGCGCTGCGTAATACGAGCTGCCACATCCGCTCAGTACGAGACCATGGTACCCATCGCCAGCCTATTGAACGATAGCAGGACAACGGAACCGCTAATGAACCAGTACTATCGATCGCTTCAGTTGCTAGTTTGCCCGTTCGTCCGCACTCGTAGGTGAGTAAACTTCTCGTGTGCTCTGGATCACATTGGTCCGCTGCGTATCACGTGATGCACTTTGCGGTCGAGTCTGCGGCCACACCAAAGGGAAGACTAACAAGTGTGATGCTGTGCGCGCGGGTAGTCGCACGGACGCTTGTGGTCATGTTGATTGGACAGTCTGACTTCAGAGAGAACGCCTCGGGTTTCCTTCAGGCGTGCATTGGTGCGGCACAGAATGTGCTGGTAGTTTTAAACAAGAGCACATTTTGAAACGATTATCTTGTTTAACACTATCTGCAGGCTGGTAGTAGGCTTGCGGGTTCCCTGTACAATTGGCTCGGTTGGTCGTTCGCCTATCTTTTGGTCGCAATCGTTGTACCAGCACACTTCTATGGTGTTGAGGGTGATCAGCCAATCGGAGACATAATACGTGATTGGTCATGCTGCCAATCTGGCGTAAGGAGGTTTCACTACCACGCGAGCGAGATGACATCTAAGTGAGTGGTAATAAGAAGCAGATTGGTTGTTTTTGTTGAGGCTGCAACGCTTGCAGGCTGTTGGAAGAGGAGTTTTGAAGGCTTACGAGTGGACTGTACGGCGCTTGTGCTCCTTGCTCGCTTGCCTATCTGGCCACATTTGGTACGGTAGGCATAGTGTAATCGTGCCACTGCGAGCAATCTGGAGAATCGATACGTGTGCGATTTCGTTTAGGAAATGCGTGTGATTGTTAAGGCAGTGTGAAGTAATCAGAAACAATGCAGTACTTCGTATGAAGGAGGTAAAACTAGGACTTGTTCGCAAATAGAAATTTCAAAGTCTTGACAGCTACAAGATTCCTGTGCTGTGTTGTTTCACTTGGCTGTACACTCATGTGACTAGTGCAGCTACGTACTGCTCATGTACTCGGCGCATTGTATCCTAAGTTCAAGTTCGCTGGGTAGATAAGACCATCAGTAGATCTGTAGCCATTATTCCAACGAGGAGGGTTCCCAGTTTGGCAGTAGCACGACAATAGTAATTGTTGATCTCTCTCCACACCTGTGGGCCACTTCGGTAATCAGTCACGGTTTCAGTACCCATAGATCTGCCGTTATTTAGAGGTCGTAGATGTGTGTCAATCCTGCGTTTCAACATGATATTTACGCCAGTCCTATTGTAGATTTTTCGTTTGCTGCATGATGGACAACCGTTTGTGAGATTTCGAAGTACGCTCTCTGATCTGATTTATGTTGGACGCGTATTTCCTATAGGATCATTCTTTTGTCGGCTTCTGTTTCTCGGGTACTTTAATGAGGTTACCAGTTTGATTGCCTCAGGTTTTTGCTGTTCGCTGATGTTGTTAGGATGTGGCGGTTGATCAGCGCCCCAGATCACGATGCACTTCAGCGAGATCAGCACAGAGCGGATCTGTGTTGTCACACTTGTTGTCGCAGGTTTTGGCATACCGCAATCTGCCCCAGTTCAATTCGGGGAATTGTAATGGGGTTCACATTTGCCACCAGCCGTGCATCATATACAGGCTTTTACAGCATGTTTTGCAAGCATTCACCCAGGAGCGCGACGCCGGGTTTCTAGTCCAGGCTTATTTGGGATGCTCAGCTAAAATTCTGAGAAGGCGTCAAAGACTTTGAATCAACATTTCGGCATGCTGCGAGGGGCATTTGTGCGGTTTGGTCCCTCTGTCTATTTGATGTTGCTTAACACATACGTGCGGCTTCATGTGGAATACGCAATCCAGACTTGGAAGCCCTGGCACAGACAAGACCTTGCAGCTCTCGAGACTCCACACCGACGAGCCACGAAGCAGGTCAAATAGGTGTTCAATCTTCCTTATCAACTTAAACTGAGGACCCTAAAATTTGACAGTGGCCGATACCTGCGCCTACGTGGCGACGTTAGTATGGCGTACCAGATTCTACCGAACCCCAACCACGTCGGCCGTCACCTACTACAACTGAGCCACGACGCGAAGTTGAGGGGCCACCAGTTCAATTTAGCCACGCAATACAGTCGGCTAGAATGTCGACGGAACTTCTGCTATCTTCGTGTATGCGGAGCATGGAACGCCCTCCCAAATTCGGTTGTTTCCGCCTCAAATTTACCTATGTTTAAAAACGTCTTCACTTTGCCCTGACCCATTTACACTACGAGACATAGCCTGTGTCTCGACAGACGATATAATGGGACTAATTTTGCACAAACAGAATTAACCCACTCCACTCAGGTTGGCCCTTTCTGCGTTCCTCTGTGTTAACACTGTGGTGAGTCCACCAAACGAGTTTAATTTTCTCCCTTTGTTTTCTATTTACCATGTGGTGCTTCTCTTTTTGGCCATCCTACGGGGGTTGCTAACGCTCAGCTTTTTTGCCCGTAATACACCATTTTCCATTGTTCCATCGGTTTGGACTTAAGCCCATGTGCAGTAATACATTCCACAAGTTACACCGGTTGCGTATTGAAACGATGGCTGTTTGATCGGTATATTGCTCAAGTAAGCGTACAACTTTATATGTCAAGTTAACCGGTAACTTTCATCAGCACATCGTTGGCAGCTCATCACGCTCACTATCAGGGCAAATTTTGTAGGAATATACGTTACTTGTAAGTAGTGTGTAAAAAATGGCCATCCACTATCTTGAGGATAGGCGTTTGTGCTTCAACCTATTACGTCAGTGTCTACTACAAGTACTAAGTTGTGATGTGTTGACAGAACTTCCAACAATATTTGATAACCACAGTAATGATTATTGGAACCAACTCCGTAAAACACAACCAAAATGTGTGGTCAGCCGGAGCAATGACAGTGAGCTTCTGGTTTGTTCATCATGGACTGTAATGAAAGTGTGCTTTTTTGTGGTTACAGAGACAATCAGTGTGAACAAACGATAAAAATGTTAGGACAATATTGATCTCAATTTCGCTTTCCGTTCTCTGTCTCTCTGCAAGGAAAAGAAACCGGCTGAACCCAACGAAGGGAATGGCAGTGAAAGGAAACACGGACACGGTCACTCTCATAAGGTCAGTTAAATAAAGGGAAATGCTGGAATACACATTGAATAAGCTTCCACTTTAGCTAAAGCAACTTGCGTGCATTAAATAAAAATAGGCTTAGAATGAATCCAACTCTTTGCTTGAGGTAATTTTGCGAAATACGGTATGTGGAATAAAGCTATGGAAGTAAATTGTACAAATCATCGGCTAACAAATCCAGTAAGAACATGCGAATGTTACTGAAGTTGTCTTGATCATTCCACAAGTCCTCGGAGCACACAGTGCACACGATAACTTTTCGCTTGTCAAGGATGCTGAGGTAAGCCACATAGTCCCCCGATGGTAGACTGAACGAGCAATAACATATGTAGAAGCAAGTTCCATCACCCAACATCAGCTTTAGTTGCCAGGACAGTCTGAGGAAAAAGATCACATCTGTGACACACCCAATGACCTGCTAGTATTTTTCTCTTTTTGTTGGTATGATAAGACATTGATGCGGCTTGGAATCTAATTGCGATGAACCAACTTAAATTATAGCGAAATCCGCATACTAATTTGTAATCAAAAATCTTAGCCTCACGAATATTCAAAATTGCTGTGTGGATTCACGGCGCTGGCAACGGCAGACTAAACCGTGACGGCCAACCACTGTCCTCTGCACAGTCAATAACCTGCATGGCACTAGAGGATGGGTCGGGCCATAACGCAGTTAGATTTCAATTGGTGCTGGTCGGCTGTTGTCCCCATATTTTAGTAGCATAAGCTGACGGCTAGTAGGAGTTAGACTCTGGCAGTTATGGGTTCGATCCCCAGTAGGGGACCGATGGATGCTCACCATTGACGAGCCCCAGTAGGGCGAAACTGGCGTCCCGTGCTTTTCCGGGTTGACAGCCTACTTATGCGGCTTGAAATCAAATTGCAAAATCCAAACTTGAAACATTGATAACACTCGAATGAAAATAGTAGCTGATGCTGTGAGTCAAATTCAAAAGCGAAAATAAATGTAGGCCAGGGAATATATATATATATATATATATATATGTATAAAATTTCATGCTAGCGTTCATTGATATCCTTGTGTTCAATCACGTTCGCCCATGCGAAAAACGTGTCCAAAGTACTACTGATGCCATTCACACTCTCCATTGTGCATTGTCCGTATGTATCTCGACATCTATGATCAAACCTACAAACTCATTTATGCCCGTACACTGGCTGGCGGTACGCCAGTTGCTCCCTATTGGTCACCTTTTCTGAGGGATCGAAATGTAGTCAAACAAGATCTTATTACTAGACTGAATCGATGACATAATCACCTCCACCATTTCATATTTTTGGCGCACCATATACATTTGTCGTATTTTTAGTTAATTTCATTTGTGCCCTTAGCGTGTGTGTTGTAGCTGAATATTCCCTTCATGGGTGCACAAAGCGACTTGTTGACTTCACTTGAATCCAATGCTTCTGCATTATTCGCCCCTGCCATGTTTCTCCCTCGTACACATTCACTTGGTTCGTAAAACCGTAAATCCTGAGCACCGAAGAGAATACAGACGGACAGCTGTTGCTTCGGTTATCTTAGGTGTAGTACATGAAGGGATCGTGGAAAGCTAGCGGGACATTGCCTCTCACACCTCTTTCAAGTTTGCTTTCTGAAGAGAGACAGATGTCTAGCGGCCTCATATGAATGGCACAGGGTACTCCGACGAGCTCATTAAGCAGCGCGATTATGCATGCAGTCAGTCGCTATGGAGCCCTCTCGCCGGTAGTCCATCATTTTACTCGATTGTATACTAACAGATGTGTTGCTATCTAGAACGTAGACAATGTGTTGTTGTACTGGGAGAGAAAGCGACTCATTATCACTTCTTCTCTTTATCACCAAGGGAAGGATTCAGATTTTTGGACTATAATTTATTCGGCTCATTGTTTTTGAATTTACACCTGTTGCGTGCTTTCCTCACACCGCTTCATGAGGCGATTGCAAGGCAGTACACAGATTAAAAAGCGTTAAAATCCTCACATATATGCACCATAATATCCTAGAGAGCCTCTGATAGCCAGAAGGAAAAGGTCAGAAGTATGATGTGGACTAAAGCTCAAGTGCCGCAAGCCAGATGCGCAGTTCTTTAACTTGTGCTCGGATCTCAAAGTAACCTGAGGCAAGTGAAGACCAGCGAGGTCCTCATGAGTTTCACGGCAATCCACCATCACATTCCAAATGATGATCTTAAAGCAACCTGCGTCACACTTGGCAACATTTTCGCTCTATGTATAGCTTAACTGCTCTCCCAGAACGATGGCCAAGTCAGCCATATATAAGTGGGGATCCTTGAGGGTAAGCAAATCCACCTCACAGTGCTCCGGAACCGCAAAGATAATTGGCCCAATGAAAGTGCGAAATCAGCGCAGCCGCATTAGTTGATCCAGCGGATTCGTAATCCTATTGTGGCGAATGAGCCGGGCGTTGTGTCATACTACAATGCTGCAGTTTGTGACCTAATGATTCACTATACCTGCAAACACAATTACAATCCGTGTCTGCCGAACTTGTGACACCATGTCTAGTGCAGTCTCTTTTAAACAGAACGCTGTTTCGCAAAATGTATAGCTATAAATAAATGGTTGGCGCCATCCAGTTTCGGATTTGTCTGTCACTGTGGCCAGCCACCGGACGCCTGCGCCTACAGAGGGACCATGAGTGGCTTGCGCTGCACCACCCACAGCTCCATCCACATACCCCATATCCAGTGTAAACCAGAAGGAACAAGACCGGGAGGTAGGTGAATTGGAACCATTTTCATCAATGGAGCCGGCCCAGGCTCCTTCTTAGGCAAACACGAACACGCCGGATTTGGGAATCAAGCACACACAAGTCGGTGGCTAGACCGTAGTCCGCTCCACACTGAGTGCATGGAACCACTCTTCGAGTCTAGCACGGCCACAAAGATCGTGCACCCCGTCCCCTCCAGAAACGACCAGCTATCTCCTAGATCCAGTATGAACGAGGTAGTGGGTAATAGACAGGTAAGCACCTTGTCAACATGCACATCAAGCGCAGCCACACCGGGGATGTCAAACAACAGCCAATCACTTGAAATGATATTATTAAATAAAATATATCTGTTAAAGCATACGTCTTTGCCAACATAACTCTTCACTAAATTTGCATATGAAGTAAGTCGGTTACCAGTGAATCCGCGATAAGCACAAAATGTCCAGAACTTACTCAAAAATGTTACAAACGCAAAGAAGTTAACGAATATAACCACAACTAGCGTAAGGTATGCAAGTTATTAGTAGATTATTCAGGTAGGCAGAACAAACCAAATAACCTAGAATGAAAGTTATCCAGCTTAAAGAAAACTAGATTAAGTGTAAGTTTGTTTAGCCCAACTGCGGTGAAGAAGCATCATGAATGCAACATCAGCCTCAGCATGGGGCAAAGTCCCGATATAAAGACGCGGAGATACATTCAGAGGTTGCTTGAGACATATACTGTTAGTGCTGTTGCGAAGCTGCGGATGGACTTAGCTGCTATCCGACAACCCTATCAACGACTGAAGCTATGTATCACGGAATAAAGGTTCAATGCAGCACTTCCTTATCTAACCACACGGAAAGGTGGGTTCTAAGAATAACAGCCGCATGTGACTGAATGTGAAAATCTCCCTGAGCCATTCGCCTGGGAAACTCACCAAATGAGTGAAAACACTTCTTTGAGCGAAAGGGATACCAACAGCGAAACATGGAAAACCGAGTCCTCCTTTGTCTTTCCGCCCTACGGAAATAGGCTATGGCTGAGTCGTTGAGGGAGGAGGGGGGGGGGAAAGACCAACCTCGTACGACCCCACGAACCATTTAGTGTTTCACTTGGCACCGCCAACGGTCAACACAGAAGCCAGCTTTTGTGTTGCTTGATAAATCAGCAGTCCATTTCACTCATGGGGTTTGAACGGTTCAGCCGCTGCCTCAGGCAGCATGCGACCAAGCGTCGAGGTGATCTTCACACCACCTTTTTCCTTCCAAGTAAACATCAAACCAAGGCACCTAATCTCATCCATCACAGTCAGCGAAACAATTATACCATCAGCAAGCTTGTATGCCCTGGAGCGAAGAACTGGGTGCTTGGAAGCCCCTTTCTAATTGTCATAGCAAGGCGCTTAGTTACAATCAGTTACATACATGTCAAGTTTACTTTAATTCGCATATTCCGTTCATCATTCGCAAACAGTACCAGATTGTGAGCACAGGTTACCACGCTTAAAGTATAGTCCTAAAATATGAATCCTTCCCGCGGTTAGGTGCAAATGAAACTGGATACATTACGGTGATAAAGAGAAGAAGTGATAATGAATCGCTTTCTCTCCCAGTACAACAACACATTGTCTACGTTCTAGATAGCAACACATCTGTTAGTATACAATCGAGTAAAATAATGGACTAGCGGCGAGAGTGCTCCATAGCGACTGACTGCATGTGTAATCGCACTGTTTAATGAGCTCGTCGGAGTACCCTGTGCCATTCATATGAGGCCGCTAGACATCTGTCTCTCTTCAGAAAGCAAACTTGAAAGAGGTGTGAGAGGCAATGTCCCGCTAGCTTTCCACGATCCCTTCATGTACTACACCTAAGATAACCGAAGCAACAGCTGTCCGTCTGTATTCTCTTCGGTGCTCAGGATTTACGGTTTTACGAACCAAGTGGATGTGTACGAGGGAGAAACATGGCAGGGGCGAATAATGCAGAAGCATTGGATTCAAGTGAAGTCAACAAGTCGCTTTGTGCACCCATGAAGGGAATATTCAGCTACAACACACACGCTAAGGGCACAAATGAAATTAACTAAAAATACGACAAATGTATATGGTGCGCCAAAAATATGAAATGGTGGAGGTGATTATGTCATCGATTCAGTCTAGTAATAAGATCTTGTTTGACTACATTTCGATCCCTCAGAAAAGGTGACCAATAGGGAGCAACTGGCGTACCGCCAGCCAGTGTACGGGCATAAATGAGTTTGTAGGTTTGATCATAGATGTCGAGATACATACGGACAATGCACAATGGAGAGTGTGAATGGCATCAGTAGTACTTTGGACACGTTTTTCGCATGGGCGAACATGATTGAACACAATGATGTCAATAAACATTTACATGGAATTGCGCTGCTTCACGCCGGATGTTTCAGGGATCTCCGCAACACTTGATAGCCCAATGGATGGTTGAAAAGCTGGAACCGCTGCGTAAAACTGTCTGCCCTTACTGCGTGAAAGACACTTTCGAGTTCATTGAGAAGATAAGGGATGTGAACCTTAACAACAAATGGATGTCGTCATTTGATGCGCAGTCGTTGTTTACGAATATTCCGTTGTTGGAAACAGTAGAATATGTCTGCGAATTAGTACGGCAACTGCCTGTACCTATAAATATCCCGGAAAACCTCCTGAAGGAATTGTTACTTAGATGCACCTTAAACTTGCAGTTCACCTTTAACGGGGAGATGTATCGTCAAATTGATGGAGTTGCCATGGGCTCACCATTGGGACCCTTCCTAGCAGATATCTTTATGGCAAAATTGGAGCATAACGTATTAAGAACGCACATCAACGAAGTCGAGATGTATATACGTTATGTAGACGATACATTTATACTCTGAAAATCGAAAGCGCAGACTGTGAAACTGTTGGAAGCTTTTAATGATGCGCATCAGAATCTACATTTCACATGTGAGCACGAATCCAGAAACCGACTACCGTTCCTGGATGTTGATATCATCAGAAACGCCGATGGATCGTGCAGCAGAGGGGTGTATAGGAAACCAACTTGGACCGGACAGTACATCAACTTCTATAGTGCGGTACCCATACAGTACAAACGAAACCTAGTCCGCACTCTTTCGTTCCGGGCACATAGAATTTGCACCGCGGACACAATCACCAAGGAATTGCAGAGAATCAGCGATGCGCTAAGAGCGAATGGGTATCCAGATAAATTCATCCTCAAACATTTGAAAGAACGCAAGATCAAACCACCGAGGATGAACGTACCCAAAAAAGAACTAATCGTGCATATTCCTTTCAAAGGCGACAGTGCGGCTGATGCCCTGTCCAAACGCCTGAGAGACACTGTTGAAAAGACCTATTTCGCGGCTCGCCTACGCATAGTATTTTACAACAAGCCTATATTCGCAAAACACTTTGATTTTACCGTTTAAGAGTCCAGGAAATATCACTGACGAGCAATACGTTTGGTGCGGTTTAGCGCAAGCTGTGACAAATCGTAAAAATCAAGTATCGATGCAAGACTGAACACCTAAATCGGGGGAGGTAGGACAGTTGCTTGACTTTGGTGAATGTTTCATACACCTGATGTGATTGCGTGTGATCCCGACTTAGTTTAACCGAGATATTTTATTATCGTACGGGTGTTTAGACTGACATTCCATACTTAGGTGCGGGGTGTGCGTCAGAATCTGTCGATAAGGATTTTCCTTTAACAGCGAGCAAAAAAATCTTTACACTTTAGTACGTTGAGTGAAAGACAGCGGGATTTGGACCTGGTGGGGAAGTTGTCCAAGAAGCATTGCACCTTGGCCGTTGAATCTGTTATGTGATTGTGTACACCAAGAATCACGTCATCAGCATACTTCAGCAGGATGGTTTCCTTTGGAGTGGGAATGGAGTTAATGTAGGCAGAAAATAGAAATGGGTACAAAATAGCTCTTTGAAGAAAGCCTGAATTTGTGGTGCTTGAGGAAGTGCTTTTCCCCCCAATCCTAGTAAACTGCGTAAGATTGGCAAAATAGTCTGTAAGAAAAGTACTCAGGATCTTTAAACTTAGTGACAAGATCTCAGGACTATAGTTGAAGGATGTGGTAACAATCAGTCTATCCAGCGCCGGCGTCGTCTTCGGTTTGTTCTTAAGCGCCGCCTCTGCCTCGGTTGATTCCATAGGCCTTAACAAGTCGAACCTAGGATCGGATGGCACTGGTCTAAGGTCAGCAGTGCTTGGTCTGCTGTAAAGCACTGCCCTGTGGACCTGGATAGTCAGGTGCGGTTCTAATATCAAACATGTGGGTCTCTGCTATGTACCATCGGAGACACCCCTTGGCGTAACATTCCACTGCTTCCGATAAAGAACTTATACCGCCGCATAGGTTCTTTTATGAATCTCTTTACTGGTATGGATCTGGCAGAACGCTGCTTCCTGGATTTCCACCTAAAGGGAAAGGCAGTATTCTCTGTGGGCTTTAAAAGCCAACCTAACCACCTGCAGGCAAAACTAACCCATTTCAAACTTAGGTTGATGTCATGCAAAACCAAGGAACGCACCTTGGGGTCCAGATGTCGTCTTAGATGGTCGATAACATGGCGCAATAGCTCCATCCTCAATATGTTGTTCGTAGGTCTATTCTGAAGATCCCTTCCCAAATGGTCCTTATAAGTCGTCGAAAGATGGGCAGAGGAAGTTATGGAACCATTGTGTTTGAGATGAGCGCACGCAATGGAACCAATGCATTTTTGTCACTCTCGGGCTTAGATGAATAAACTATATCCGGGTACGCCTCCACAGACTGTTCTGGAGACTTCTTGTAGCTCCAATGATGCGATGATGGTGATAAATGAGGGGCAGTGATAGAAGACACATCAGTGTTGGTGACTACTCTTGTGTAGGAGACCAACCCAGCTTCTGCAGGTGTTTCTTGATCACACCAGCGCTGTGACGCTGAAGGAATTCTCGAAGTTTTAGGTAGAACGCGGATTTCTGCGTGAATGTGTTGAACGATGTATATGCCTTCTCTATTGCAATCCGATTCTTGATCTCAGTCTACACCCATTTCATGTTAATAGGCAAGATACATCGATTAACATTAAACGCACACAGATGCCTATGGCATTTGTGTGGGACAAATCCCCTTGAGGTCACGAATCGCGCAGCGCAAAAGCAAATATGTGGGGAAAAGTACCGCTGTACAATTCAGCAATATTACTCTTTACGCACCAGCATCAGCAGTGTTGCGGTTGCTGGCAGCTATAAATTAGTAAAGAATATTTGTGGTTTGATAGCCACATACGAAACTCGGGTAGTGGCGTCAGCCCTACGTGAGATGTCTTGGCACTTAGCTCAGATAAAGACCTACTCAAATCAATAGATCAGGAATGGCGGACAAGAGAACAGTAAGGCCATATTTTATCCGGTGGTCACTACGAAGAGACGTTCAGGACATGTAGCCACTATTAATCACCTGAACGGCAGTAGTGGATTAACCAGTCAGATGTCAGGGCTACTGCCGCCATATATGCAGTAAACAGCTGTTACTGACTTCGGCTGCTTTGATGTGTGGTATGTTAACTTTCGTATCCTTTAACAGTAACCTAACTGAAATATCCGCAGTGCTTAGGAGGAGAGACGGCACGTTTTTCTATTCACGCCACTCACACATGCCGTTTTTGTACTCATGTGGCTCACTGCTGCGCACGCGAGCCACGTGCCTTATCCTAGTAGTCTGCTGCCTTTGGATGCTCTTCGTTCACCGAAAGTGTCACCTATACCTTTACGTCTGCGTTCCAATGCATTCCATTGTAATCATATTCTTTTACTAATTTTCTCAACCCACTGAGTACTCACGATTAATTTTTATGCAACCTAAGCTAGGCAGTTGATTTCCATAGCTACATGCCATGATGTAAATAGTTTACAGCGTTTGAATACAAACAATGTATCGGACAAATGTGCTTCATCCTAGGTTCCCGGTTCAGTTGCCTCCGTGGCCTGGATGGTCATACTTGGTGATGGCTTGCACAATTTCACGGACGGAATGGCCATCGGTGAGTGAAGTAACTCCCAGTGGTTCTCGCACAAAGTTACTACGTTCACATACAAATTAGTTCCGGGTACTTAAAATCTTGTTACCCTATGACTCTCATTGGATATAGTCCTTAATGTAAGGTTGGCGGCATTCGGTTGTGCAGTTGTCTGACACTGGCCTGCATGGAACAGCTACAGGACGCCTGCGACTACAGAGGGACCATGAGTGGCTTGCGCTGCACCACCCACAGCTCCAACCACACACCCCATATCCAGTGTAAACCCTGAAGGAATAAGACCGGGAGGCCGGTGGATGGGAGCCACGTTTCATCAATGGAGTCGGCCCACACTCTTTCACTGGCAAACAGGAACATGCTGTATTTGGGATTCAAACACACACAACGCGGTGGCTAGACCGTAGTCCACCCCACACTGTATGGAACAACTGTTTGAGGCTAACACGGCATGAATTTCATACCCCCAGTAACCAGTAACATTTTCCTGAAGCCAGTAATCGAGACGCAGGGTCTTGTATAGGTAGGAACTTTATCAACATGCACATTCAGCAATCGATTCCGGGAATATCAAACAACCGATGCTCAAGTTGGGGGGAATTAGCCCGCAAAATCGACGCGGAAAATGCAGCAGCATAACTGAATAAATCAAATAACGAGGGATACTTTTTCCATGTTTGGAAGAGTTACTTTAAGTGTTAGTCGGCATAGTCCAACTGCGGTGAAGAAGAGTGAGGAATGCAACGCCAAGCTCAGAATGGGAGAAAAAATACGTGGGACTTCTATAGGAGTTAATCAGCATGGGTACTAGCTGCCGCTCAAATGTACTGGGAGCTCGCATCAGAAGCGGTAAATTCAAATTCTCCACGTGTATCACTCTCGAACCCTGGAGCGAATTTTACCGACTATTCTGAACGATAATACTTAAATATTTCACTAGTTACGGGTCCATAACTTTTATCTTGAACAAAATGTGCGGTTGAATTGGTTGTGCAGTGTCAACTGGTGGTGGCTTGCAAGGTCCCAGGGGGAAGTGGTACAGTTCTACCCATTGGAAAATCCGGTCTAGATCGTTTTGAAGAGAAGCACAGTGAGATGAGCGAATAGCTATCCAGATCGCGACATTATGAGCAAATAACTGTACAGGGGCTGAATGTTTTCTGGCAAGTCATTTATATAGACTAACCACACTAGCGGGATTAGGACGGGACATTGGGGCACATCAATGGAGACGTAAAAACTTTCAGTGTGTATCGCTAATTGTTAATGTACTGTTCTGTGTAGGTAACTTTCTAACCAGGTACGATGAGAGTCGGTGATCCTATAGTCATTTAGATACTGTATAAGAAGGAAATGATTAAATCCCTCGGATGCTTTTGTAATGTTTAATTATATTACATCTGGGGAACACCTCCTTCGGCCGCCCTTGTCCGTAAGTTACGAGCCAATAGAAGGTTAGTGAAACAAGATCGACTGTGTACTAAGCGATGTTTAAGATTGGAAATGATTTGAAGACTTGCAAAAAGTTTCGGCAATCCGTTGGTGATTATGGACGCTATATCTCTTCGTGAAACAGAGAAGAGTAATGGGTTGATTGCCAGCGGGATCCTATCGTTGACCCCCATTGTAGATTACAGTGGTTATTCTATTTTTCTACTCAGATGGGAGTGCATATGACTCAAGTAGACACTGGAAAGAGGCTGCGAAAGGTACTGTCTAGGTGGGGTAAGGGTTTTGAGAACGTTTAGGAAAGGTTTATGGATAACAAAGACACTCTTTTCTCTGATGGACTACAGTTGGTTTGTGACAGCTACAGGGATAAAAGTGATGTTGGAAAAACTAATGACTTTCTCTGCGGGGAAAGAGGGAAGAAAGTACACAAGATTTTTCTGGTCATGGAGCAAAACCATAGGAGTAGGGTGTTTCCCGTAGCTACAGTCATTAGGACTTTACCCGTCTTGAGTGGTGACATTCTTAACGATACATCGCAATGAGGCTGGAACTTAACGTGGTGCGATGGTTTGTGTGTCGCAGTGATCCATTGAGCTATGCTGGGTAGTGCGTTTTTTGCACCTTCAAAGCCACTCATACGAGATTGCTCAATGGTTAGAGGCCAGACAAACTCAGCTTCCTGGTCTTCTAGGTTCCGAGTTGGAACTGGGGTAGCTCCTTATTCCTTAAAAAGGACTCATTGTAGCCCAACGCCAAACCCGCTGCCTTGCGGTCAGGTTTTTGAACCAAAGGCTTTGGTTGAGAGCCCCAATCGTACTGCTGTCTAGGCTTGGGCAACCTGACAGTATCCTGCCCACGCAATACGATGAATTTCTCTTCAAACAGTTTCCTGATGCTCAGACCACCGCAGAGGATAAGAAACGGTGCCCTATCTGCTGCATCGAGCTGGGTGGATAGGGGTTCGGATGATACTGCTCAAGCTTTACTTTCTTCTCATTCCCCCGCTTGCACAGTTTCTCCCTTATCGTACCGTTCCAGATTCATTTATATCCCCCTGTTTTCAACCCCCCAATTCTCGGCCCTCCCCTTCCTTGCTTTGCTAGGCGTTTACCTTCTAGTTTCAACTCACATGTGAACGCGGAGCGTCATTCTTGCTCTGTCAACAGGCCAATATCCAAGCAAGCAGTTAAGTGCAGTTCACCGACTTCTATTTGGAGCCCTCGATCCTCCTTCAGATTGGCATGCCTCAATGTTCGTACATTGCTACAGATCGGTCAAGATGCAGCACTTGCCCGAACATCAGAGACCTACTACATCGATTTGTGCTGCTTATCGGAGACCGGCCTGAAAGACTCGTGCTCTGTGTTCACAGTGCGATCCCCTTCAGGCGACACTAGCAGCATTTTCTCATTGCGTCCATTAGGTGACGATGCAGGTTCTAGCACCGGCCAAGCCGGTGTTGGCATTGCTCTGAGTCCCCGGGCTGAAGCTACTCTGGTTGCTTGGATTCCAATCAGTAGTCGGATGTGTGCGGTCCGATTGGCTGGCTCGTTCAACACTTTGAAGTCACGTGGGACTAACAGGTGTCTATTCGTTATCGCTGCCTATGCACCCACAAACTGTAGCAATGACTCCATAAAAGACGACTTCTATCGTCAACTGAACGAGCTCTTTCGCCACAGAAGAAGCTCGGACACTGTAATGCTGGCCGGGGATCTGAAAGCTCAGCTTGGAAAATTATCCACTGATGAACTGCATCTGGGCGGCCAACATGGTATACGCTCCCGTAATGATAACGGTAAGCGGTTACCTCATTTGTGTGAAGATGCTCGCTTATTACATGCGGGCACTAATTTCCGACACAGCACCCGCCGGAGGGTGACTTGGTGCCCACCAGCCTCGAAACAACTATGGGCGCAAATCGATCACACTAGGATAAGTTACCGATGGATCGGTTGCGTCCAGTACTGCTGATCGATTTGGAGCACAGGTGTGGACACCGACCATGCACTTGTATGTGCTGACCTGCAGATACGTTTTGACGGACGCCCACGACGTGAGCGCATTAACATGAGCCAACTGGCTAAGCCAGTTGTTCTGAATGCTTATCAAAGTAGGATGTCATGTGAGTTGTATAAGAGCTCAATAAATGTAATTGTAGCTCACTGACCTCATATTCACCAGACGTTACTAGCAGCAGGAAAATCCTCATTTGGTATGTCTAATCGCCAACATGGACATTGGGTCTCTTCGCAGTCTCCGGAATTTATCGATGCTCGCCGGCATATTCCGGCTGGAAGCGAACACAATGAAACTCGAAAAGAGCTCCGGGCAAAACACCGTGCTAGCCTGAAGAGAGACCGCGAATCCTGGTAGTCTCATGGTGCATCAGAGATGGCTGATACAGGAAACGGGAAGAAGGGATCTTGTGTTAGTAAACTAAACATGACGAGAGTGGACAACTTATCCACAATTTCTCCAAACGCTTAGAGCGTTAAACTGAGCATTTTGAAAGGCAATTTAATCGGTCGGAATTGTTAGATTTCTCGCCGGCCACTGATCGCCCCGTTCCGTGGGCTGTCCCTTTGGATCCACCTTCTCGCTCAGCAGTCGAACGTGAGATCGGACTGTTGAAGTTAAATAAAGCCGCGGGACCAGCTGATCTCCCTCCAGCCCTCTTCAAATTCGGGGGACTTGCTCTTTTGGATGATATACACGAGTTACTAGTTAAACTGTGTGAGCAGAATACTGTCCCAAATGACTGGAGCCACTCCGTCCTAGTCCCAAATTTCAAGGGAGGCTCACAATCAGAATGTGGCAGCCAGAGAGGAATCAGTCTGATCTATATCACTTCCAAATTGCTTGCATTGTCATCCTTTACTGACTGACTGGCACACGTGAAAGACTGATTAGTGAAGAGCAAGCCAGGTTTCGTCGCGGTCGTGTCTACATTGACTACATCTTCACTTTGTGTCAGTTGTTGGAGCACCGGCATATATATTGGCGACCCACCGTTGCCGTGTTCCTCGATATCACAGGTGCATTCGATTCGGTGGATAGACGTGCACTTTGGGACTGCCTACTCAGGAAAGGTGTACCTGAGAAATATGTAAATATTATCCGAGCATTATACGCGCGTAGTTCGGGCAGAGTGAGGGCTTACGGCAAGCTGTTTTTGCCCTTTAATATCTCCAGCGGTGTGAGACAAGGATGCCCGCTGTCACCTTTCCTCTTCAACTTCGCTATTGACGAAGTCATGGAAATCGCGTTTACAGGGGAATTGGATCGCTTAGGCTTTTCCTACTAATATAACGCTGAACTGAGAAGGCCAGAACTGTGCATCTCATGCGATCCTTCGTCTACATACTTCACCAACGGTACACATCGGCGTTAGCCACGGAAATGTGTTCGGCTTATAGGCCTGCATGTGCTTGCATACTTTAGGTGATCCCACTGTTAACGCTTGTGAAAGCTCGAGCTCACAATTTATAAGGTAGAATGTCTTGGCAGTATGTCTCCACTTTGTTGCTATTTACTTTTGGTGTCCTATTACTTTGGTTCG